CTGCCCCAACCCGGAGCTGGCAAGTGGCGCTTTGCAGACCGCAGGCTGCGGTTCCTGGGTGCGGACGTGGGGACCGAGGCGCTTCAGCCTGACCTGCAGGACTTGAGCAAAGTCCTATCCAGACGTCCTTCTGGTAGTTCGGGAAGCCGTCGTCCCGCGCCGAGGAAACCTGCAGAAACCGGGCCGGGTCCCAGGGGGCTCAAGAGTAAGAGTGTGTGAGTGTGAATGTGTGTGTGTAGAGGAAGAATCGAGAAAGTTTGAGCTGCCAGACCCCCCCTCACTGGTCAGAATGTGCAGTCTTGGGAAAGCAGGAAGGTAAAGATGATTGCATGAGCTCATTTCTCCCACTTTTCCCCTAAGGATGAAGTTGGGAGCAGATGCAGCCCAGGGGGAAGTCTTCACAACACAGGATATAATGATTTGTAGGAGGGTGACAGGGAACTGGATCCAAAGCCCTGAGGAGAGCCAGACCTCAGCAGAGGAATCCTGTCCTTGAGGGGAAGCTGGACATTGCCCTCCAGGGGCAGAGACTGGGGCAAGGGGACTGCAGTGGCTTTGTTGTAACCAGCTGGTGCTGGGGAAGGAGCAGGCGGACTTCTAGCTCGTGCTGAGATGTGCTTCAGGGATGTGACTTTCCTGGTGTTGTAAATGACTCACCGAAATAATGGCCCGAGGGTAGGAGGGTTGTAATAGGCACTCTCTATAATTTTGTTATTAGACTCTTAAACCTGTGGTGGTTACTACAGAAAAGAACAAAATCATTCCTGCTTGCATCAGCAAGTATCAAACACACCAAAGGAGAAGAGTAGGACATCCCTGGTGCGGGCCATCTAGGATAAGCAGACTTCTACCAGAAATCAAGAGCAAACTAACTGTTTTTAGGGCTGTGAAAAGGCTGGCAGAGAGGCTGGCCTCCAGTCCTTTTATTCTGGAAGATTTGAACCCTGCCTGTGTCAAGTATTCATTCACTTAACAGCTCTTTGTGCTAGGCGTTAGGGTCAGAGTGATGAATGATATCACCCTTCATTCCAGGCAGTCACCATTTTAGCTGGGTAGTTAAATTAAACCCAGTCTGCATCTGGCTCGGCCTTGAGTGCTGTGTGCCCCGGAAACTCAGAGCAGGGCCACCCAGTTCAGGGGAGGCACACAGAATAAGTAATGCCAGGCTCAGCCCTGAAAACCTCTTCACCCACAGAGCAGGGAAGGTTGTTTCAGGCTGAGGGAACAGCATGTGCAAAGTTACAAAGAGTGGGGACAGGCAAGTGTGGGAAAATTTATGGTTGCAGTTCGGGGCGGTGGGTAGATGGGTGGAGGATGATTTTGCTGAAGCAGCAGCAGTGGGATCAGCCTGTATCTTAGCAAGCTCGCTTTGGTTGTTGGGTGGAGGCTCAGAGGAGCATGAGACCAGGGCCTTGCAGCACCCAAGCTAGAGTTACTGACGTGCAGATGACGCCAGTGGAGAGGTGGGATGGAAAGGTCCAAGAGATAAAGAGGTGGGACCTGGTGACAGCCTTGGGCACAGAGTCAGATAACTTAGACAAAAACGAAATGCAGAAAAGCTCAGGAGAAAACAAAGCAAAGCAAAAGGAATGGATATTTTGAATGGCCTGAATTTAGCAGATTACAACACTTGGACAGTCAATTTGGCTGTAAACTTTCTGGCAGCTGAGAAACAAACAAAAATACACTGGATTGCACAGTTTTGGATGTTGGACAAGATAAAGCATACAAATTAATTTTCAGGCCAAAATTTTTCCTGGAATTGAACTCAACTGGGAATGTCATGTGGAACTTTGTGTAAAGATTAAAGAGTGACATAGAAAAAACTTCATTGTCAGTTGTTACAGAAGACGGGAAGATAGAATTCCACGTGACTCTCTTTCTTTACCACCTTCCTGTTATGACTTGGGAACAGACTGCATTTCTGTGGGGGACCAAGAGTCAGCTCAGGCTTGTGGGCAGTCGTGGTACAGGGCAGCGAGGGCCTGGGGCATCCTATGTGGAGGAGCCCAGGGTCTCACAAGTGTAGGAAGAGGTGATACCTACTTCAGTAAATGTAGAGAGCAAAGCACCCTGGTGCCCAACCATGAAGAGGGAAGCAGGCATACCCCAGCGTGGCCCACAGGCAGGTGGGCTGAGATGGGTCTGAAGAAGGGGCCTGCTAGGGCAGAGTGTTGGGAAGGTTGGCATCCAGAAATCCTAACCAAAGAGAAACAGAGAGTGGGAAGAGCATTTGTGGATTCCGTTCAGCTGGGCAAGTCCACTTCCCCTAGTGGGCCAGGTCTTTCTGCCCTTGGACCTGCTGTTGAGCCTGCTTCTAGGGGTGGGACTCAAGACACCAGATCCTCTCTTCTGAGGTCAGGGAGGGTGGGAAACTTGTTTGCTGCATAAAGAATGTTGCAGAAGAATACGGAGTGAGGGCTGGGAGGTTCTAGTCTCAGTCGCAAACCTCCGGGCCAGGCCCTACCCGTTGGATTCTGCAGAAGGGACAGAATCTGCAGAATCTGTGTCAGTGCCCTCCTAACGTGCCCTCCGAAGTTGATACCACTTCTTGCCAACTGTAGACGCCTTAAATTCACCTTGAGTCAGGATGATAGTTTACTACCCCCTCCCCCAATCACAGTTCTTAACATTTTTAACTCAGGGTACACATTAGAATACATATTTAAATGCTAGTTGTAGAGGGAGGGGGGAAGGCATTTTTTTTTAAACAACTGATGCCTGGGCCCCATGCCAGGCCAAGAAAAGCAAAATCTCTGAGCATGGGCCCTGGGAATCAATATTTTTTAAAGGTTCCAGGTGATTTTTAAGGTACAGTCAAGGTTGAGAGCAGCTGCTTTAACATTTACCCAGAGAGTCATTACAGCAGAGAACAGAAATGTCAGATTCCAAAAGCAAGGACTCCATAGAATTTAAAAGCCTGTTACTCATGATGAAATCAACCTGGCTAGTCAGCCTTTGACATCAAGACCTAAAGCTATCTTGAACAGATACAGATAAGGAGGCGGGTAACAAACACATTTATATAAAGCTGTGTGTGTGTGTGTTTGTGTGTGTGTGTGTGTGTGTGTGTGTGTGTGTGTGTGTGTGTGTGTTTATATAAATGTGTGTGTGTGTGTTGTTGTGTGTGTGTGTGTGTGTGTGTGTGTGTGTGTGTGTGTGTGTGTGAAGCTTTTTTTTAGCATAAGTTCTAAAAGCATAATTACAAGCCTTCCACAGTTAGATCTGTCTGGTCTAATACTGTTGTATGCAGTGCTGCACCTTAGCCAAAACTGAAAAGCCTCAGCACCTTTCTCATTTTGCCTGGAACAAACATAAATCTATCTTTCTTGAGTGCTGAGCCTCTGAGCTCTGAGTTCTTTCTACTTCCCTCCTGGTATTCAAGTGTATTTGTTCTCTGACCTATGTCTTATAGATTGGAAAGAAGCTGAGAGAATTCATTTATGCAGTTTAACATGCATAAAGTCTCAATCAAAAGGAATGAATCTCTAAGGGTTTAATTTCAGTAACTTGCAGAATATTAGGGGAGCTATTTAGAGGCTCGATGCCTTTTCCCAAAACCCTCAGGTACACCTTACAGGCAGCTGCTTCTTTGGCTATAAGCAAAGTTGACTCAGCTTCCCCCACTACTTTTGGAATCCAGCCCCCTTTTTTGCTTCCTGAGGGCCCTTGAAATGTCTGACAGTTACTCATGAGTGACCTCTGCTTATGCCTTGTGTCATGTCCAGTCTCCTGTGTCAAGATATGGTCCCTTCTTCCACCAGAACCAGACAGCCTCCACAGGTATCTGGGCTCTCTCTGAAACCCCTGCACTGGCCACCCAACAGAGGGCCTCACAGACACGTCTGCCCCTTTAATGATAGGAGGCAGGTCAGTGCCTGGAACCTAGGTGAGTGATTGGTCAGTTCTCTACATTTGACATCCAAAAGACAGCAATACATTGGGAAGCCAGAGTTAGACCCTCTTTTACCCTCGTGTTAAAATCATTACCTGATTTGGACATTTATCCCAACTCAGTTTGCCTAGAAATTAAACCCTTTACCAGCCAAAGTCCAGAGTTGCTTTCTCTTTGGCTTCCCTTTGGCACATTCGTCCTTGGCCAGTGGTTGGCGGAAAGAGGGATGAGCCTGAGACCCCCTTTTCTAGCTGGCTGAGCTACTAACACCCAACTTCCCTCTGTGTTTGGGAAGCAGGAGGTTCCTTGCACCCCTTCAGGAGGAAATGAGACCAGGACTGAGCTGAGAGTGGGGACAGGACAGGAAGTTGTGACCGTGACTGCTCTTCCACGGGACCCAGGCCCTGTCTTATCAGGAGGGCCTGTCAGACCAGTTCAGGCAGAGTATCTAACACACTTCCTTTGGTTGTTTTGTTTTCTTAAAAATTGTACTTCACAATTTTCAGATGCCTTTTACATACATACTTTTATATATACATGTATATATATATGTAAACTATGAAAGTTAGGTTTGTTATAAAGTTTTTAAGCAATATATAAAAAAGAATACAATGAATAATGGAAGTTTACCCTATACTGACCCCCTCCTCAGAGGCAGTCACTGTTTGGTATATACACCAAAGCCCCCAGGACTTCTTTTCTTTACATGTAATGTATTTTGTTTGTTTGTTTGTTACAAAAATGGAAGCACGCTATGATAGTTGAACAGTATTTTGTGACTAATTCCATGTGGGACATATGTAGTCCTCTCCTTCACAGCTGCCTAGTGTTTTTTATATAGGTTGACTTCGTTTGTTTAGCAAATTCTCTATTGACGAGCAATTAGTGGTTTCTGACTTTAGCCGCTGCAGTGGCTCCAGCATTTGCTCCCACGTTTCTGTAAGATAAATTCCCAGAAATGGAATTGCTAGATGAAAAGATTTCAAAGCCAAATGCATACTGAATATATCTGTGCCCAGTGATGGATATTTTAAAAATGAGATTCTGATACTCAGTCTTAAAAAATTATAAAATATATTACTCTCTCTCCCCTAACCCAAGTAAAGTAGATTACCTCTCTCTTTCCTAACTCACCCTAGTTCTCCCCTGAATTTACTATGAATTTCTATTTAAGCCAACATGAGGATTAAACTTCATAGTGTGGTGCATTCATAGAGGCAATCTATTATTTTGAGTTTTGTTAAATTTAAAAAGGCAATGTATTAAAACTAGCATTTCTAAGAAATGTTTTATTGATTGTCATCCAACAAACTGTCCCAATTTTGTCTCTTGCTGTTGGTTTTGTTTTCCCAAAACCTTGATCCCATATAACTATGGTTTCACACAAGTGTGGAGGTTGAAACCTGGGATGGGTGGAGTGGGTTGCACACCAGAGCCAACCCAGGGAAATAATCCAAGTTGCCTCCCTTTTTCTCCCTCAGACTTCCTGACTTTTCAGAGGCGAAGATGTCATAAGGGTTGAATTTCATTTAGCACTAAGTTCCCCGCAGATCCCCTGTGGGTAATAGATCGGGTAACCATGTATAAAAGTGGGACATTTGGACAGTAAAAAGTGAGCACTAAAGATAAGTTGTTAATTGATATACAGCAGGCTTCTCCTGGGACCATCCCTGCAAACTGCAACTTTCAGCTACCTGGGAAGGGTTGGACGTGCCCATCCATTCGCCCTGCTGGTCCAGGGGCGCTGATGTAGGGACATGATTCTTTCCCATCCCTCTGCCTCCCAGCCTTTCTTAGCCCCTCTAGAGTAGAGGCCTGAGTCCAGGGAGGAGGAGGGGACAGGTGGCTAACCTGGTGCTGCATGTCAACTTGTCCCCACTAAACAAATCAAAAGAGATGGGTACCACTACCCTTGGCTCCCCACAGCTCACTACAGAAGAAGTAATAACTGCCTTTTCCCAGCAAATTGGAGCCATTAAAGCAGGGCACTTCTCTAATTTTATTTGGACTTCTCACATCCCTTGGAAATACAGACTCAACCTCCCCAGGTGACCAAGC